AAAAAAAAAAAAAAAACTACCAACTCTATGAAGCGATTGGTATGAAAATATGGGTGAAGTGCACAAAGAATCATTCTTAAGACTGTTATTTAGGAATTAACCAGTACTTATTTTATCCTGAAATTTTGAGCTAAATTTAATTTCAAAACAAAAATTGAGCTGAAAAACTGAAATTTAAAATACATGGCTAATTCTTAAATAACAGCCATTTAGAGTGGCTAGCTGGAGTCATTTCTACCTATATATGACTTAGGACCAATCAAACACTTAACCAAATTTACCTTGTACAATGAGGATAGAATTGTATGGATTTATTCACTAAGCCCGGGCAACAAGCCCAACAAACCTATATGGCCCAATTCAGACAACATTCATCCTAAGTCAATTTGCCTATCCCTCGAAGAAATACTCCTTTTCTTAGTTTTCCTTTTCCTCTCATTTAAATTGTTTATTAAATCATGTAATCATAGCTTATTGCATATTTTCTTCTTTTACTTCAAGGTGTACTTACAGAACGCAATGACTTACTACGATAACCTTTTTTTTTTTGCTTTTAATAATCAGCATTCGGGTAGCTTGTATGTACCTCGATTAATTTCTTGCATACTTGTAATTTTCCATCATCACAAGTACCGGATAATTTTATCCATCAAAATTTGGACAGATAAGAAGAAATTACCTAATATTTTTGCTTTCGCTAAAATTTAAATCCGACATCTTATAATTCTCAAACTCACTTTATTAACTGCTAAATCACCCCTTGGGTGCTACTATGATATTAAAGCATAAGTTATTTTCTAAGAAATTCGTGTATACCACTAATTATTCAATTATGTTAACAAGGAAATTCTGAGATGTTAGTAGAGACTTTGTAGTCTATATTTCAATAGGCATGACATTATAGTTGTTAGGTAATTATTATAAAGAGAATGTTGTCCCACTACTTAGATACAAAATTTAGTGTGCAGTCTTGTCAATGTTTTAAAATCTTATTGCTAATTAACGTTATGTCCATAAAATTAGCCTTTGCCGACACTTTCATTTCCCCCAAAAGTCCTTTTCACGAATGAGTTAGTTAACACCTATGTAGGGTGGTGTGCATTCGAATCAGTTTATCGATAAATTGATGGTGTGCATTCGAATCAGTTTATCGATAAATCATCGATTTATCGATTATTTGCTATCGGTTTATCGATTTCGATTTTGATTTCAAAATTTTCCTTATCGAGTTATCGATTTCGATTTTGTCCTCTTCGGTTATCGGTTTATCGATAAACCGATAAGATATACTAAAATTTTTATTTTTTTTTACCTTTATTCTATAATACCCTTTCCTTTACCCTAAGTCTCTAACCCTATTATTCCATCTACCACATTTAAGGAATGATCATATTTAAAGCTCAAAGGAATGAAGTTCAAATTAATGGAAAATAGAATTAGCCGTGATGATGTATTTTTATTTTTTTATACCGTTGGAGTGTTGGTGGCATACATTTGATCCCTTACTTTAGTTTCGTTGCATGTGCTTGTTGACACAATTTTTATGTTATAAACGGTGTTCGTCTTATTTTAGCTTCTTTTTGTCCATATTATTTAGGCGTGTTTATAGCGATATACTTTATGTGAAATCCCGCAAATTTTCTTATTGGTGTAATCGATAAGCCCCAAAAATCGATAAATCGAAATCGAAAAAATCAAAACTTTGTTGAAACGATAATGATAAGCATATGTACAAATCGATAAGTAATTAGCGATAAGGGTCAAAATCGAATCGATAAATCGAATGCACACCCCTACATCTGTCTATGGATCGTCTAGTACACAAAATATCCCGTGTTTATGCAAGATTCAAGAAAGGACTGCATCCAAAATGTATGATGTAAACTAGGGGTGTACATAGGTCGGGTTGGTTCGGATTTTATAATTACCAAATCAAACCAATTGTGTCGGGTTATTAAATCTAAATACCAAACCAAACCAATAAAACTCGGGTTTTTTCACTCTCGAATTTTTCGGGTTTTCTCTTTTGGGTTATTCGGATTTTTTCTAATTTTTTTCCAGTAAAATCTTCGTAGAACAAAACATATAAATTGTGCTCAAAATCTTTCTTTAATCTTAGTAAGATACAACTATATAAAGTATTTTTCAAGAAAATAATATAAAATATGAGATATGTCATGACATTATCATAAAATATTCAACAATAAAGACAATAAAATTATGTAATATAAATATTGCTAATTAAAAAGCCATAATAAAAATAAACATAATTTAAAAGTACTAAGTCATGCTAAAATAAGTAGACTAATAAGGAAGTATTAATTACATGACTAAACGCTAAAGAAAAAATAAAAATAGGTTGTGTGTTTTTATCTAAATTATTGCAAAACAAAAAATAGATATTCAATACATTCCCGTTCATAGTATTGAATTGAATGACTTTTGTTGGCATTAATATTGATTTGATTTTAGTTTTAATTTGGCTTTTGTTAGCATTATTTAATTTACTAATGTTAATGGCTATAAAACTTATTGGAACATTCAAAAAGTTCTAAGTCCAACCTTGAAATAATACCGTAAAAGATAAAATTATGAAATTTTTAAAGAAATATTTATAAATTGCATCACAATAAGTATATTTATATATTAAATATATCTAAAATTTCTATATATGTAATGTCGGGTTGGTTTGGTTTCGGTTTAACTTTCTTTAGTTAAAACCAAACCAAACCAATTATGGTCGAGTTTTTTTTTCCAACACCAAACCATGGTCGGATTTTTTTTTCCGATTTGACTCGGATTATCGGGTTGGTGATGTTTGTCGGTTTTCTTTGTACACCCCTAATGTAAATAGTTAACCTTAACGCAAGCATCAGTAGCTGATTCTCGACTTGAACTTTCGTGACCTATAAGTCACACTAAAATAACTTTAATATATTGTTGCTCCAACATGTACCTATGGTCCATATAATTTGACGTAGAAATTAATTAAAAGTGTGACACTATTAATTCTTACTCTATTTTAACAAAGCAAAGCTTTAGTCTACTTTCACATCAAGGAATAGGATGAGAGAAATAGAAAGGGCATCTTGAGGTTGAGACTTTAGGGTACTAAAGAAATTTGAGAAATTTCGAGACACAAAATATCGTAACTATACATATGTAATTAAGTAGTCTTAATTTGTCGTTTTACATATTTGATCAGTTTACGCATATCTCAACTATTATCATTTATAAAAGAAGAAATTACACTCTATGTCACTTGGGCCATACAGCTCACCCAAAAATAGCCCATATTTGAGGCCTTTACCCGGCATAGCCCATGTTGGCTAAGTTATGAAATTTTATTTTCACCCGCTAGCCCACACTTTAACATAACGTTTTAATATTTTAAATTTAATTTCTCTGTTGCTCTCTTCCTCACGCTTTTTTCACTCTCTCATCCTCTCTATTTTCTCAGACCATAACCGACTCCATTGTTGTGTGTAAGTTGCTTTTCGAGGTTTCTATCTTAGTTTGAGGTAATTTTTGTTTCCTTTTATGTTTTTCCTACAGTGTTGGTTTTGAATTTTTTTTTTTTTTTTT